TGAGTATTGAGTAGCGAGTACGGAGCAAGGGGTAGTGAGTATTCAAGAGTAGTGGGTAGTGAGTAGCGGGTACTTTGTAGGGAGTAGCGAGTAGGCAGTAGTGAGTAGTGAGAGGTGAATTGGGAGTAGTGAGTAGTGAGTGGTGGATCGTGTCTAGTGAGTACTGAGTAGTGAGTAGTGGGCAGTGAGTACTGCGTAGTGAGTAGTGAGCAGTGAGTATAGTGTAGTGAGTAGTGAGTAGGGGGTAGTGAGTAGGAAGCATTGAGCAGTGAGTAGTGGGTAGTGAGTAGTGAGTATCGAGTATTGTTTGGGGCTAGAGTTAGGGGTTGGGTTCAGGGTCTGGGGTTAGGGTGAGGATTAGGGTTAGGGGTGGTCGGGAGGGGGGCGGATTCTGGAGTCAGGGGGCGGCGTGGCGAAAGGGGGTGTGGGGGGGTCGAATTTCGAGCCGAAGGGGTGCGTGTGGGGGGGGGGGATCCGAAGCCCCCCCCCTTTTTGGAAGGGCGGGGGGGGTTCCCCGACGACGGACCAGGAAGGGGGGGGGGGTCCCCGACGACGGACCGGGAAAGGGGGGAGGGGGGTTCCACGACGACGGATCGGGGAAAGGGGGGTCCCCCCCCCTTGGGGGCATCAAGCGGCGCGCCCTCGATGATGATGATGATGATGATGATGATGATGCTGATGATGATGATGATGATGATGATGATGAGGGTGAGGATGGTGCTGATGTTGATGATGGTGCGGCTGTTGACGATATTGATGATGATGATGATGATGAACAAGAGCATGGGGATGATGATGGTGGTGATGATGGTGATGGTGATGGTGAGGAAGACGGCGATGATGCTGCTGATGTTGACGATGACGGTGACGATGTGGCTGATGATGATGACGATGATGTTGATGATGATGATGCGAAATAAGATGATGATTATGATGTTTGATGTTGCTAATGATATTGATGATGATGATAATGGTGCTAATGATGATGCTACTGCTGATGATAGTGGTGGTGGTGGTGATGATGAGAATGAGGGTGAGGATGAGGATGATGATGCTGACGATGTTGATGCTGCTGCTGTTGATGATGATTATGATGCTGATGCTGATGGTGGTGGTGTCGATGATGATGCGGATGATGATGATGCTGATGATGATGATGATGATGATGATGGTGTTGATGGTGATGATGATGATTATGATGTTGATGATGATGGTGTTGATGTTGATGATGATGATGATGCTGATGATGATGATGATGATGATGATGATGATGATGATGTTGGTGGCGACGACGACGACGATAAGGAGGAGGCGGAGGACGGGGAGGAGGATGATGAGGAGGCGGAGGAGCAGGAGGAGGAGGTCGAGGAGGAGGCTCAGTTTTGGGAGTCCCTGTGGTGCTCGGAGGCTTTTGAAGGTCCCGCTGGGTGGTGGGAGGACTTCGTTCGGGAGGCCAGTAGGGAGCCTCTGGATGAACTCACCATGCAGCAGCTTTTAGGAGCCCTGAAGTCTTTCAAAGGAGTCGTTGGAGTCGGGGCTGATCAGCAGAACCCGAATTGGTGGCGCCGTCTTCCGAAAGAAGGTCTGGAGGATCTTCTAGCACTTCTCCAATCAGTCGAGAGAGCAGGCACTTGGCCACCTCAGATCTTCCTCAACATAGTTCAACTAATCCACAAGAGTCAGGTGGCTGATCGACCGATCACCCTGACTCAGGGCTTGTATCGGACGTGGGGGAGGTCTCGGAGGTGGGAGATTGCTGATTGGAGCGCCCAGCGGACCCAGCACTGGGACAATGTGGTCAAGGGCAGCTCCTCTCTGCGAGCGGCCCTCATCCGTCAATGTAAACTAGAAATGGCCTCGTCCCAAGGTTTTGCCTGGGCTGAGGTCCTCTGGGACGTCGACAAGTTTTACGATCACGTTCGGCTTTTTCAGGTGGCCAATGTGGCCAAAGGGGTAGGCTATCCCCTCCCAGTGCTTGTGCTCGGCTTAGCCATCCACCGGGGACCGAGGAGGCTGCGTGCTGAAGGAGTGGTTTCAAAACTGATTTGTCCCGGCCGCTCCCTGATTGCAGGATGCAATCAAAGTGTAGACCTTGCCAAGCTTTCACTGTGGCAGGTGCTCGAATCGATGCATGCAGACTATCGACCTCTGGATCTCTCCACGTGGGTGGACGACTTGGGACAAGTCGAAATTGGCCGAGAAGCCGACGTCATCACACGTACGAAGTCAATCTCAATTTCTTTAGCAGCACGTCTTGGTAGGGCTGGTTTTAAGGTGTCTGACAAGTCGGCGATCCTCACCTACCCCCCTCGCCTCGCGAAGGAGATCTCGAGGGCTCTTGCTGACGCTGGAGTGCCCCTCAAGTGCCCAACGCACGTTCGGGACCTGGGGATTGACGGCCACACGGCCAGGCGTTCCACTGCGGTCATCAAAGATCGCCTTGCCAAGGGACAAAAGCGTGCTGTCCAGATCACCAAGCTAGTCAAATCTGTGCCCCAAGCTCGAGTCCTCGCTAAGACGGGGTACCGTCCAGCAGTGACGTATGGGCAGATGGCCCAAGGCCTCAGTCCGACAACTCTTTTAAAGCTTCGAACTTCGGTGGCAGCCCTCTCTGGTTACAAGAAGCCAGGAGGATGCCCAACCACTTGCATAAGACTAGGGTTTACTGAAGCTGATGATCCAATGATCCATGGGCGGATGCAGATTTTCGCTTCATGGCTGGAAATTTTGTCTCACATGCCTGAGAAGATGCGAGCCATCGAGATCGTCTGGCGCAAAACGGTTGCTCACTTGCAGGAAGGTGCCAGACCCTGGGCTCGTGTCAAAGGCCTTATCAGCGCTGTCGTGGCCAGTCTGCTTGACCTCCACTGGGAACCCTTAGGACCTGTTGCCTGGAGGACGCCCAGAGGTGAAGTCCTGAACATACTTGAGCTCGACAGGGATCATCTTCTCAATTTCGAAATTAAGCAGGCACTAGACCATGAGTGTTGGATTCGTGCCGCTGATTCGCATGTTTACGGTAGAGGGGCGCAGGATGGAGTAGACCTCACCATTTTGAAGAGACACCTCAACAAGCTAGCCAGAAAGAAAGCGTACGACAGAGCGGAGGTGCTCCGCATGATTGCAACAGGAGCCTTGTGGCCAGCAGCTAGGAGATTCGGTAGTGAAAGCCGCGGGGGCATTAAGATTGATCCTCCGGCTGTGCTGCCTGCTGCTGCGGCCACCGAGCCTGCTGCTGCGAGTGCTTCCTCTCCCTCCAATGTCCCTCCTCAGCCCCCGCAGGCCGCTACCTCTTTGGACGACCCCGAAGGGGACCTCTTGGAGGAGGAGGAGTTCCCGTCGGATGGGGGGGAGGAGGAACCACCTGAAGAGTCGGCCGAACAGGCCACGAGTCAAGAGCCAGCGAGTGTCGCGGCATGGAATTCTTCGCTGTGCCCCCGATGCCACGAGTGCGAGGAAACGCTTTTTCACCAGATCTGGGATTGCAAGTGCAATTCTGAGCTCCCACAAGAGGAGCTACACTGGGAACACTTGTCTCAGGCGCGCCAGGAGTGGAAAGAAGAGCCATGCTTCTGGCTTAGGGGCCTCACGCCCTTAGCCTGGACTTTCAACATTAGGCATTTGGAGATCCAAGGGGTAGAAACCCTTTCCCCTGAGCTTCAAGGCGAGAAGTTTGTTCTTCCCCCAGGAGCCTACCTTGGAGGAGATGGGTCTGGTGGCCTGTTCTCTGCGGACCCTAGGATCAGGCGATGTGGCTGGGGAGGAGCTATTTTCTGCAACGGAGAACTCCTGGCCTGGGCCAAAGGGCCCCTTCCCACGTTCAAGCAAACTGTGCCCCTTGCGGAGTTATGGGCCTGCTACAGGATGGCCCAACTAACTGCAGGTGATTTAGTCTTTATAGGAGACAATGATTCGGTGGTGAGCGGGATTAACTCGGGCCCCCGTTTCCGCCACACGGAAAATGCTACCTTTTGGGACCTGCTCTGGCAGGAATGCGAGGGTAGGCGAGTGCTGGCGATTAAAATCAAGTCGCATGAGTCGGCCTCAGATGCAGTCCTGGTCAGGAGGAGCAGGCTTGAGCATTGGATTGCCAACTTTGTTGCAGACAAGCTGGCGGATCAAGCCGCCAAGGAGGCTCAATTGCCCCGCTGGGCGACCGATGAAGTAGAACGCATCGACAAGCTCAGCAGAGAGGTCCAGGAGCATATCCTAACTATTTCGCATTTCATTGCTGTGAATTCTTTTCAGATCTACGGAGCCAGTAATGCCGAAGATCGCAAGCGAGAGAGTAAGAGGCGTAGGAAGGCCAAGCAGTCGGAGATTGCGGCCCTCACAGCGTCCACTTCTCATTGCCTCGTCGAGAGTCCTGGCAAGCCGTTGAAGTGCTCCAAATGCCTCACGTCCCCGACGGGGACTGCGGAGAGTTGGCTCCGCATGGCGTGCCCTGGACTTCCTGCGAAGATTCACTTCTCCCACCGCCATTTCCAGGGGTTTCGTGGAGTCTTCTGGTGCAGGGATTGTGGGAGCTATTCAGCCACAAATTTCAACAAGCTTTCCAAAGAGTGCTCGGGGATTGTCTCGAAGCACGGAGGGAAGATTTTGCGTGCTCTTGAGGCGGGAAAGCTCCCGAGGGACATCACGGCCTGGCCCGAGCCTGAACCCTCTTTGGAGCTCCCGCCCCCAATCGCTTTTTTTCTGAAGGGAGGGGGCCCTGTCGCGGCTCACTGACTGGGTGGATCGCAGCCCAGTCGGTGAGTGACAAATTCGGATGGGCCCCCCCCGAACTTTTATAGCTAGGGGCTCCGCCATGTGGACTCCGCCCCTCAGGTAGGTAAGAGGTAAGAGGAGGTCGAGGAGGAGGAGGCGGAGGATGAGGAGGAGGGACGAGGAGTCTTAGGGATCCTTGCGATTATCACCGATTTGAGGTGTTGCCTATCATAAGGATGACCCCCCTCTCGTCGCGGGAGCCCCGCGGGCTCGCGGATGGGGCCGCCCCGCAGGAGCTGAGCGTGCCCTTCCGGGTCGGGGACCTCATAGAGATGCCGGATCCCCCGCCCCTTTGCGAGCGCTGTTCTCCCCCCCCTTCTGTCTCTCGCGTTCTCCCTCTCTCTATCTCTTTCTCTCCCTACCTTTCCATGCCATCTCATATCTTCTCTTGTCCTCTCTTATCTTATCCTCTTTTACCCTGTCATCTCTTTCATTATAACATGTTAGTGTCTATTATCGGTTATCTTAATATTTTATCTTATCCACGCTGTCCTTCATCTTTTCCTCTCGTCTTGTATAGTATTGTATTGTTTTATTGATTTTCGTTGCATGATCTCTCGGCGTTTCTTTCACAGTTCTCTGTCTGTCTCTTTGTGACACACTCTCTCTGTGCTCCTCTCTCGTTCTCTCATTGTACTTCCTCTGTCCTCGTAGAGGGGGCTGAGGAGGGATAACTGGTTATGAATGAGATAGAGCAGTACTAGCAGTTCTCCTCCTCCCTTCTCTTTTTGTCGGCAGCAGCGCCAATGCCTCACTTCGATGCTGGATGAGGCTGCCCAGGTGGGCTACTCTCGAGGCCGATTGAACTGTGGGAGACCGCACACACCCACATAACGCTTTTACAACAAAGCGGTGACATCGTCAAGGTCAACACTTATCTGATCTTTATCAGGATGGCACCCCTGATTAAGGCGGCGCGTGCTCTGACGAGAGGTGACTGAAGGAGGGCCACACACTTTACCAAGCTTGAGGACCTGTGAAGCACAAACGCAAAGCTGAGCGGTCGGAGCGATGGAAGGCGAACACCCTGTGGCCCAGACCGAGGAGAACGCCCTGGTCAAGTCTCGACTTGCCAGCGCAGCTCCCAGGAGGCGGCAGGTTGGCTTGCGAACCCCTGAGACTAACTCGGCAGTGCCAGAAAGTCCTCACCTTGCACCAAGATTGCCCAATGACGAGGACGGGGGAGCTCTCAGGAGGAGAAGGAGGGGGCGAACGGGCGGTGCCTCCAAACTCCAGCTACGGCCAAGGCGGCGGCAGCACAGAGCCCGCCTTCAGGACCAGGCGAGCGGTCTTAATTCGCTTGTCGAGCTTGTGAAGGTCGCAGTGATCGACCGAAGGGTGCAAGTCTGCTCCAGCCCTCACGGCCAAGTCCGCGCACGCATTCCCCCACCGTCGAAACCGTTCTTCCGACGGAATGCATTCCTCCTCGAGCGAGCGGTGGGCGGCGACCTTTTTCCGGAACATGAATGTGAGAACCGTATTCGAAGCGTCCCTGGAGGACGAGGCGAGGCCGCTGTACTGCCTCTTGCCTGACAAAGAATCGGCCCCCAAGGACACATGATCAATTCTGCACGCTTCGCGTATCCCCACCAGCCCATCTCAAAACAGCAACTCTTGCGAAGCATGCCGACAGTCGTGTTTTTCAGGCGTGTTTCCGCCTGCCCCCGCATATCTCCGGGCCTCTCGTCCTGGTGTGAGTCGTTCGGGCCCTTTTTCCTGGTGTGAGTCGTTCGGGCTCTTCGTCGTGGTTTGAGTCGTTCGGGCTCTTCGTCCTGGCGTGAGTCGTTCGGGCTTCTCGTGGTGTGAGTTGTTCGGGCCCTTCGTCCTGGTGTGAGTCGTTCGGGCTCCTCCTCCTGGTGTGACTCGTTCGGGCTCCTCGTGGTGTGAGTCGTTCGAGGCCCGCGTCGTGGTGTGAGTCGTTCGGGCTCCTCGTGGTGTGAGTCGTTCGGGCGCCTCGTCCTGGTGTGAGTCGTTCGGGCCCCTCCTTATGGTGTGAGTCGTTCGGGCTCCTCGTGGTGTGAGTCGTTCGGGCCCCTCGTCCTGGTGTGAGTCGTTCGGGCGCCTCCTTGCGTGTGAGTCGTTCGGGCTCCTCGTGGTGTGAGTCGTTCGGGCCGCTCGTCCTGGTGTGAGTCGCTCGGGCCCCTCCTTGTGTGTGAGTCGTTCGGGCTCCTCGTGGTGTGAGTCGTTGGGGCCCCTCGTCCTGGGGTGAGTCGTTCGGGCTCCTCGTGGGGCCTCTTGGGGGCCTCTTGGAGGCTCTTGGGGCCTCTTGGGGGCCTCTTGGGGGCCTTGGGCCTCTTGGGGGCCTCTTGGGGCGTCTTGGGGCCTCTTGGGGGCCTCTTGGGGGCCTCTTGGGGGCCTCTTGGGGCCTCTTGGGGGCCTCTTGGGGGCCTCCTGGAGGCCTCTTGGGAGCCTCCTGGGGGCCTCTTGGAGCCAGCTTGGGGCCTCTTGCGACCTCCTCAGAAGCGCGAGTGAGCGCTGCCCCCTGATAAGGACAAAATGAGGCCAAAACCTTCGTAAAATCAATGATTTTGCTATGAAGGAAGAGGAGCGCTGCCCCCTCAGAAGGCCCAAATGGGGCCGAAACCGTAGTAAAATCAATGATTTTCGCTTCAAAGAAGAGGAGAGGGCTCTATCTTCCCCCCCCCGTCGGGGCCAGAATCCTCGTGAGGGTCTTCGTTTTTTAGCCCTCCCAGGAGTCGAAATTGACCCCCCTGACGACCCGCCGGACCCCCGCTCCAGGCCCAGGGGGAGGGGGTAGGGGGAGGGGTAAACCCCTCCCCGAATGGGAAGAAGGGGGGTTGAGGACAGAGCGGGCTCTCTAAACCACTCACGCCCAAAGGGCTGGTGGGATTACATTCTGACAGCCGGAGAACCCAATGGAAGCAGCACTGGCATAGGCCCCCGACCAAGCGAAGACAGCACACTCAGCAGCCTGAGGAGTCTGAGGGTACGGAACCCGCAGAGGTCCCTTGAGAGTCCTACGAAGCTCGCCGTCGTTCCCCATCGTGACAACAGCCCAGCCCGCCCGGAACAACTCCTTAACAACATGCCTACGACACGAATCGTCCATGAACAGGTAACCCCACATGGAATCACCAGGGGCCACACGCTCATTGCCGCAGGCAGGAGGAGGCGGGAGGCCTCTGGTGGCCCACCCGAACGATACACCAACAGAGAGCGGTTGGGGGAACTCATCACCTGCGTGTCTGAAGGCCCCACCATGCAGGTGCAGTTCTCTTTCGTATAGCGGGTCGCCCAGAGCCCTCGCCGCCCCAATCAGCCATAGCGGGGGCAGATCATGCCCCTATTCGTCGCAGGCAGAACAACCAAAGAGACGGTGGTACAAGCTGTCGGCTCTTTGCACACACAAGGGGCAGTGCGGCGACACGTCATATCATGTCTTGATGGCACCAGCGGCAGTCCAAATCGCGTTGGTGGCCTGCGCTCGCATGAACGACTTGGCCTTGCTCGGGATCTTCGGGGCTGGGAGCTGCGCCATGACCGCATCCCAACAAAGCCTGTACCCCACTCCACATCGTTCACCAGACTCCCGCTCGAGGTTTTTGAACATCCCCACCCGACAGGGGACCTTGGGGAAGGCAGGGGAGGTGAGGGCCAAAGAAAGGTCACAACCGAGGTCATCCTTGAAGGAGATGAAGCCAGGCAAGCTCCACCCCAACCTATCAACACACATGCGGGGAGCGGGCATGGGACCTGTGACCTTGGACCAAGAGTGGACACCGCGGTCAAACCTTTGGGGCCATCCTTCCTTCAATTCAGCCCAAGGCAAGCGCCGCGGGGAAACTTTGGTAGCAGAGCCAAATCTCTTTGGCATATCGAGGAATCGGCGCCACACTAGCTCTCCAGTCAGGATCCTTCTCCAGTAAACAAAGCACAGACAGAGAACGGCCCTGCGACCGCGGATTGACACAGGACATAGCCGCACATCGAAGGCCAAGACGCTCGCGATCTGAAGCCCCGGAGATCTCCGCGCCGTTCGAGCCCCCCGCGGGGGGGGGGCGCGGCAAATACCCGCGGTTTTGTTTCTTTCTGCAGGTCGCTTCCTCCAATCTCCGAAGTCGCTTCGTCTTCCTGAGCGCAGCCGCTAGCCTAGATTTCAACTTGGCCGCTCGGCCTTTGCCAGGCGCTCTCAAGGCCTTGCCGCCAGTGTAATCAATCCCGAGGTCCGCGACTCCCCCGACGCCCTGCAACGGACCAGCCAGAGGCCCAAATTTCTGAATGAGCTAGCTGACTGGCAACATCGCTAGAACTCGACTCCATGCCGAATTTGTCCATCGCAAGTTTGCATGTCAGAACGCACGTGACGCCGGCGTGCAGGGCTCGATCACCACCGACCAGCGCGCGAGCCACATCCTTAGCCGCTCCTGCACAACTAAGCCCTGAGTCGCCCACGCAGGCGTCAAAAGCCAGGCCTCGACGCGGCGGGCGGTCGAAACTTTCCACGGCAAACGCCTTGATGAGACTGGCAGCGAAGGAGCGGCCAGCCACGACCCCTCGCACCATGAAGACGGGGCCACGAATGATTCCCACTAAAGAGACGCACCTCGCAGTGCAATGCGATCGAACAGCCAGTCTCGCACTGCGCAGGGGGAAACCATGCTGCCTGCACTTGGCATAATGAAACCGAAGGCCAATGTGCTCATCGTACTTCCTAAGATCCCAGAAAATCGAAGCCGAGACGTCTCTACGACCAACGCCAACTTCGTCGCGGCGTGCTTGCCGCCAGACCGCGTCGGCCGCTCCTCGATTAGCTCCCGCAGAACAATGCTTCCTGGGGTTGTCCTCCCACATTTGGGCCCAGGGCCGCCTGGCCTGCCCCCAGAAGGGCGCCAGCTCGGGGAGACCCCGGTCGGTCGAACCCCTCCCGCGGGCTTGCCCCTGAGCGCCCTGAGCCCCCATCGCAACGCGCAGAAGCGCTTCGTCGCACAGCTTGGAAAAGTGCCTGCAGTGAAACCCATCAACACTCACGGCGCAGTTTCTTAGAGAGACTGCGCAGCTGGTCTGGCTCCAGCAACGGCAAGGCATCAATCGCCCACTCCTGCCCCGCATCCGGGAGGGCCAGGGGCCAGGCCACCGCTTCCAGGAGGGCCAGGGGGTCAGCCACAACAGCTCCTCCTGAAACGAGAGTGGTCGAGGGGGTCCAGGGTTGGGCGCCCCGAGTGGCCATCTGAGCATGCTTGCCTCCGCCGTCGATTCCATCCCTCGCCCAGTCCTGCCACGCGGCTCGCGCCTTAGCCGACAAAGCGGCCTTAGGCTTCA